AATTTTAGATTGGAAGCAAAGTGCTGTTTTTATATTTCTTTCTACATTAAGACGATGGAAATTGAAATCGATACTAACGGACCGAGTGAACTGTTCATAAATCCGCCCACTCTCTTTCAAAGAGTATATAGAACACATTGTATATAAAACAGAATATGCGTGTCTTTCACGATTTTCTCCAACTATTATGAATTGATTTATGAGTCCTTTGCACGCCTACGCTTTCGTTGCGCTAGTCAGTTTTTAATTTTACAACGCGTCTGAAGACGATTTGGAGCTATTTTTGCTATAAATGGTCGAAAAACTAGTTATACGTACAAAATATGGAGTCAGACTGTAAGGATCGCAATAATTAGCTAGTTTACCCACAGTAGAAACAGAAAATATATATTTTAAATGGCTTACAAACATACAATATCTCACAATCGTCATGAAATTCTATAATTTAGTAGAGAACGTGTTTAGTTTTATTTTCATTATAATTTACTACTTACTACATAGTAACGAGAACACCTGTTTCCATAAAATCAATTACATACGTATGAAATACATGTATTGAATGTTTGAATAAGTGTTACCTACATTAAGTCCGTGAAGAGGTAATATTTTGTACTTGATGACGATATCGAATTAATGGTGGTGCGAACATTTTGGCTGACAAGAAATTTAGTTTTCTGGAATAGGTACTTGTATATATATTAGTTGCATTTTAGATTTTTAAATATGATATTCATGACATGGAAAAAACATTTTTTAATTGATTAGGGATATATATTTTGATAACCTTTCATAGTAATTTTCAGTGAACCTTTCATAATGATTTTTTGGTGGGATTTGATAATTACATATTTATGGAATACAGTTTTTTTTCAATTTGACAACTTATTATAGTAGCTTATTACAATGGTAATGATTCTATATGCAAATGTGCACATATATAGGTAGACGCGTTTACTTATTTATTATTCTTGCTGTTCCTGTTTCATAATTATTTCTATATTGGGTTTTGATAGATATATCGCGGAATGATTTCATATCTCATTGACATTTTATTCTAACTTTTATTTTAAAATGTTATCAGATATGCCGAAACTGTGTGCAGAGTATTTGCATTAGGTCAATAAAAACAATTGATGTAACCACAGTTTATCGACCAAAACGTCATAAACAAAACTTTACTATCATAAATAAAACGTATTAATCAGTCTTAGGTTTTGCAAATATTTTTAAAATTTTTAAAGTGGATACTGAGTAAAAATAGGACATTAGGTCATTCTCATAACAGAATATAGGTATTATTTATACAAACTGCCAGCTGATTTTCTACGATAAGTATACATAGTAATTTTAGTAATAATTTATACATTGTAGTATTCATTACCATAAATAACAAAGCAGAGAAAATAATTTAAATAAAACAAGATGTCCCACGCACTCGAATGGCTCGTGCATTTAACAAAATGTATTGTATTCGAAATTAGAAAGTAGTTTATCGATAATTCGGTTCATGTTACAAGTAGGTAGTACAACACTAGTGGACGACCTTTGCGTCTACCAACCGTGCGACAGGACGAGCTGGTGTGACCAGACGACACTCGCTACTTCACGTTGGATAAACACCGCAAGCGACTGACAGGCTAATTAGCACCTTTATCGCGTGCGCCATGTTACTACTTACAAATGTAAAACACTTCTACAGTAAGTAGGTGGGCGATAAGTTCAAGTGGGTGTGCACTTTTATTTATAATCGAAAAATTGCAATGACGAGGTGAATACCACCTCCACGTATTTTTCAGCAGAGAAGGCGGGAAAATAAAATCCTTACGTATTTTTTAATAATGCCTTTTGCGGATTTGTCGCGCCATATTACTAATATTTTAGTAGACAGGTTAAACAGTATCAGAGTCAGTTTAAATTTCAATATTTAATTTGACATAATTTTATATGCTCCTGTTAGCACAACACTACGTTAGGCATCTCTTACCAGTTCCATCGCCTTGGCTCACCATGCCGTCGGACTAAAACTCCAGTGACTGGCGTCCATACAGAGCCAAGCCCACTCACCCTCTGACAGAAAAGGCAGAGTCACGCAGGAGCGGGCATCCACAACGGCGATTAGCCGACAACTAACGAAATGACTAACAAAAAAGATATTAACTGTTTCCCAGTGTTCATCAGACTCAACTATTTCCAAAGCGACCCACATTGGGTCGAAAATGAAGAAAAGAGACAATGCATTTTTGTCGTTTATTTATTTGTATATGTCGATCGATAGAGCTCATTGGGAACTGTCACTCATACGAACTGATATATGATTTTTTTTAACTGGTATATACCTACTTGTTTTTCATATGATGTAACGTGATTATATTATGCTCCTCTTTTGAACGTTCGGAAATTTCAGCATCAGTAAAGCCATTGTTATATGAGTAAATTAGACATGTTCTATGATACAACTTGGCTAATTTACAACTAAGTATGAATATTATACTCACTCGTAAGGCAGTTTTCCACGAAGTCACTAGTAGGAGGTACGATGTACATGATTAGGGATTGGCACTGTCATCATAATACTCATATTACATTCGTCGCTCTACATACATACTGCCAAATATAAATTTAATTTATAATAAACTAGCGGTTTGATCAGCTTTAGCCCCATTGATTCCTATTTGCAAGGGTTTTTTTCAGAAATCTGTGTTCACTTACATAAAAGAAATAAGAACTCCTGTGCAAAATGTCCCATAGAACATTTTGCAGACGAGTTTGCGTCGCAAATTCAACTGTTTATGACTTAAACTATAAGATTCTTCACCTTGAAAATTTATGATAAATAATAGAATTTTTAATAAACTGTAGTAAAGGTACTATGTGTCGTATTTCCTTTATTTACGTTACAAACAAATCGACAGGCGGTCACCGAATTGCTGCACTCTACTCTACCCGACTCACGGAGCCGAACGCATACATGCGTATCGAAAGGTTGTTTTGTGTTGAGGCCTGCAATACCCTGCAGTGGAACGCACTCCGTTCTATCGTGTACTTCAAAAGGCTCTGTATACAGTATATAATAATTTTTATCGTTCATTAAAAATTAGTAACTATGTAACCTAGTGCCCCTAATGATTTACTAATTACATATTATCTTTTAATCTCTTTCTATGTAATTAACAAACATTACCTAATTAGATAGCAGACAGTAAGTAAGTCTATGTTAAATTTTGGTTGTTTCTATGTCATAATTAACAATTATGCTAAATAGGAACATATTTTATAGAACATAATTTTCTAGATTTTTTAAAGTATGTTTCAACCTATAAAAGGAAAAGATTATCAATTGAACAACAATATTATATTATATTAAAATAGCTTATTGTTCCTTCTATATGCCCGTCGGTTTGTTTATCAATGCATAACGCGTTGGTTTAAGAAATTACTAGTGATATCAATTGAATTTCGAATAGAGTTAGATAATGTAGGCGTAATAATAATATTTTTTTACATTATTTGTAAAAATCGGCTTGAAATTTAATTTAATTTCAATATCAAAATATTATTTTATTTAATTTTCAATGATTTATTTAAAAATCCTCTGCAAATCTATCAAGAAGCAAAATAAAAATTAACCAATTAAATACGGTAAAATGAAATTTACAGTTTATGTGTAATTCTGATGTATAATATAAACTCTATTAATGTAAAGTTTCATCTACTATAAATCCCTTCTAACGTATTGGGTACTTATAAAGCTGATGGCTAGCGGAACTCACTTCAGACAGAACAGTATAATGTATATATAGATACTATGATGCTTATTGCCGTCTATCTTATTGATATTTAAAATGTAATCGTAATTATAATTTAATCCGAATAATATAACCTAAAAATTTACAAAATACACACTAAAAGCCACTCAAAGGCTTTTATAGTGCATGGGGATTCAAACGCACAAATGACTCCCGGACCGTGGCGCCAGCGTGCCACGCCTTTCGTCCCTTGTCTAGAGGCACGTGACCGAGATTATTCTAAGTCATCTTCGCCTTTTTTTATTTGTCCCATAATGCATTCCAATACAAAAAGGGTTCCAACGTTTTTTACTGTTTCAAGATTTACTGAGCAACTGAGCAATGTCAACTGTATGAGCAACTGTCGTTCCGTATGGATACCAACAACTTTCTCGGTTGTGGCTTTACATAAGCAAAGTAGAAATCCTTGTAGATAAATATGTGCATTTCTATAAGGATCTGCTTATGCCGTAAATTGTGTATGGAGGCGACTGTCAATCATTCGTGTTTTGTCGCGATTCTTCGAAGAAAGCTTTACCTTATACAGAAACTAGATTCTACTGTTGATACAAGTATTATAATTTTGCTGTCAACGTTTTATAAAACACTGTGTGTGGTAGATTTTTTTTATCTTAATATACAGACTCATCTACATAAGTCTATAGACATATTTGTAAGTAATAATTCTGTGAATATAATTTGAAAGTAATACCTACAATAAAGAGGTTATCTCACTTACTATCTCCATTTAAACATAGTGAAGTTTTATGTGGAAATGTATACATTGCATAGATAGGAAAAATGAAGACAAAAAGACAAATGTAAATAAATAGAAACAAAACTATTCGATTTATTAAAAATCTTTGTATAGGAAAATAACAATAATTTTATAAAATTTACATTATCTACTGAAGAATCAAATTTGAAGATAATCACAGATGATGATGAAATATTTCATTTTTTTTCAAGTTGGAAAATAAACTGTAGACTGATAAAATTCATTAATTTTACATGAATATATGTATAAAAAATATACTTACTTGGTAAAACAGGACATTGAGTACACTAGCAGAAACCTGAAATAACTAAATGCTCTATTACACCTTTTAGAGGGCTCAAAATTATCAAGTACCATTTTATCTTCTAGATACGTTTTACCTTTCTTTTTCATACTCTAATAATTTGATTAATAATATGTTTTTTGTTTCTTTACAGATTATGATGCAGCAACACAGAAGACGAATAATATACTCATCTAATTATAAACATAAAATGTAAATAAATAAATGTGCCTTCATTATTAGGAGAGTGCTATTCGCTGAATTATTCCGTGTGGCGTACATTTTTGGTGAATTCTAGTGGTTGTAGTGTACGTGGAACGATGGATTTCTGGTGTTTTACATTCAGCCTATTACTCTTCCAATCGTCGGCGTCGTGGTGCAGCGCAAAGCATTTAGCACTAGATAATATGCTGAGAGTGGAGTATCCCGATCGCAACTTGGAAAAAGAAGTCCAGGATAGCATAGAGCACCTAATACATACAGGTAAGCGTATCTTTTATTTAAATAAAATATTGTTTTATATTTTATTAATAACCAAAATTACAATTCTCATTTATATTCTTAATTCAGATTTCCTATTTCTAATTTATAACTGATTTTATTACAATTAATTGTAATAATATCCATCTCATAGATTATGGAATCACCGATCCCTTCCATGTTAGATTCAAATGTAACGAGCGACATATACGCATGTCAAGTGTTCAATACTACTTTCTCATTTGACAATGCCTTCAACTCTGGTATGAAGGAATATTATTATTATTATAATAGAAATATTTTTAATAGAGCCCAAACGTTGAATAATATTTTAATAATGCATTACGTTTAGCGAGAGCTTGAGATGTAGAATAGATGAAATTTTGATACGTATGATAAACATTTTCGCAAAAGTTAGATTTACTTGGATTACTTTTATTCCAATTGACTTATTTACTCAGACTTGGAAATTACAGGGATTAAATTCGTCCTATTTAATCCCTATAATGAAGTATAGAAGTTCTTTGATATCACTGACAATTGAAATTCATTTATATGAAATAGATATATAAAAAAAATGTTTATAACATTTTACACTTATATTCTGCAATAATATTTTAATCAGGCTACTACTGAGAAAGATTACATTAATCGGTAGTCATGTGTGTGCTATATACGCTGTTTAAATAAAATGTGAGTGAAATAAAACTGTAACACTGAATAAATTTACTTATATATATATATATATAGAGTTCCGATTCGCTACATATACATATATAGGTAATCGGAAATCACGCGAAATATGTGTCTAAATGACCAATTTCCTTACTTTTTAGTATAACACAGACTGGTAGCTCTGCCATCTTCATTGCAAGGCAGACAATACTTATCTATTAAAATATAAAGAGAAAGACAGCTAATATTGTAATAAGGAATTTAAACTCTGATACCAATACACATATTCAAAAATTCTTTTATTTTTTTAAAGATATATTATTCCAGAGTATCCTATTTTGTAAATGTATATTAAATTTAAAAGTTTTGGGCTCCACGACAAAGCTCAAAGCCGAAATCGATCATATAACATAGTCCCTAGTTAAATTATACAAATACCAATTAGACGTCTAATATACATATACGCATATTTATGACAACAAATCACTTAAATGATTAGCAAATAAACTTAAGGTAGTGTTAAATATATTAATAGTATACTAATAGATTCACACAGCTCATACTGATCGTGTACTTTGGTGACTTAAAGCCGTTCTTATTGAAAATTATTATATTAATTGTACACGTATTCGCGGAATTACAATAAGCATTTCGTTAGAAACGACTATGTAACAAAAAATATCATTAAATAAAAGAAATTTTACTTTTTTGTATACACTTTATTACAAATTAATAGTGAAGTCAAAACTGATTTGGATATAATTAAATTGGAATACCGTATAACAATTAAGTTGACAGTTGAAAAGGGTACAAATCGCGAGGAAGATAATAACCTGTCGTAAATTGATTAAAAAAATAACTTATTATCATATTTTGTATTATTTTTACTTCATTATTTATGTTGCGTTTATAATACTACTATATAGGTTAATATTTAATAGTATTATTTATTTCTTCTCCATTCCTAACTCATATCACTTACTGACTTTATTAAATGAATTTTTCATATTTTATTAATCATCTGCTTCATCTGTATCATAATGTAAGTATTTTTATTATATATCAATACTTTTGTTTAAATTAAACACAATGTTTTAGGCGCGAGTGGACCAAATTCATCATGGTATTTAATAATTAATAATATCCAATAAAACAAAGAAAAAATTAATAAATAGGTACATTTCTTTTATTATAATACGGTAGGGAATGCATTAGATTTTTTTTCTAATACCTCATTACAATAATGAGCCTAATGCTGGTTATGATTAAACAAAGACGCAAAATTTGTTTCAACAAATGGTCTCACCTTCCCTAAGGTACGAGTAGGAATAAACTGAACTGCCAATAGCTCGTGTACAATAATAGCGCCAAGTGTACGAGTATTTCAAAATGTAATGAAACAAATAACCGTAAAATGGCAATACTTTGGCGGGATTTATAAAACAATAGCTACGATTTTGTACGTAAGTGGTAGGTCGACACGGTCATTCACCATTCTAAAATTGGTACGATGTACTTACCCATCTTTCATGAGTTGCTGTTTGCTCTGTAATAAGTACAAGTCCTACTTATCCTACTAATACGAGTATTATAAAGATGAAAGCTTATTTGAACGGATAGAACATCTAACCATTGTTGTTGTTCTTTAGATAAAAGGAACTGAACGGATTTTTATAAAAGTTTTCAGTAATATAGCATTTATATATCAGAAAACATAATTTAATTAAATTAATTATTGTGTAAATTGGATGAAATGTAATAATAAATGTCAAGTAAATCACGAAGGAATCTTCTTAGAGCTACGTGAATCCTAAATAATGGTTAAAAGGTTAATTTTAAGAAAGCAAAGAAAGGTTAATGTCAATAGAAATAGTTTTTCGCCATATAAATTAAGGAATAAAAAAATATATGATTCGAATCAGTTTCATTTATTTTTTATACATACACTATCCGATTAAAAACATTAAATTAATTGTTGGGATAATAGATTTAATAATGTCAACCACTACTAGTAAGTGAACACCTAAGTAGATAGAGCAACGACCTCAAATGTTGCAGGGATAATACACGCAATTGGCCTGGGAATGCTACTTGTAGCTACTGCAATATAGGCCTAAGTTCCACACTATACAAATGTAAGTCGTTTTCCTAACTTCCTATGTATTCAAACGAGACTAATGAACTGAAAAAAACATACATCACATAATGCACATATCATGCAAGCATTAAAAAACCTATAATTTGTTTAAAATTATGTAGGAACTACATTTACACAACTCATAAAACCAATACAAATTAAAGATTACACAAATTATTATTAAGTAATTCTATTTAAACATCCTTATCTTGGTTAGACCCCTGTGGCTATAATAACTAATGTAATAGAGTTAATTATTTATTCATCTTGATTCAATACCGGATAGGAACCAGTCGGTAATCTTCGTGTCAGAATTACTACTACCATACAAAGTATCTACAGTCCATAATAACTACAGACTATACTCATTATTATGATTCGGATACAGTCAAGGTTGATCATAATAGTAATCGGAATTAATGTATGGTTTAAAATAAGATTTTTTTTCAATTGCCTGTGAAATGTTGCGATTAATGTGTGAGATTTGAACGTTATAATCTATAGTAAGTACAAGATTATTTTTCTCATCTGTCTACTGAGATTATTTAGCAAAAAGAGCATTTAAAGTTTTCTTTGATTTTACACGCACGCGTATTTTACCTGATTTTTATAGGTAACTTAATAGGTCTGAATCTTATCTAACTGGATTTTATTGTCAATTCATTTATGTGTAGATTTTGTAATATTTTACATATGTTCGATAAATAAAGATTAGGAAAAATAAGAGTTGTCAATAGAACCTGTGTGGCCTCAGTCAGCAATGTCGAGTATCGAGTGTCTAGCGCCACGCGAATGCTGACACCGCGCGCCTATATGTATTTCCTATGAAATCATTCATGTGATGTTGTCAATTATTAAGTAACTGTTATGAAATCTAGTCCACGAGTGTGATTATAGTGATATATGTGTTAACTCTCTGACACACTGGACGCTCGTTAATCACTACGTACCTGTCATACTAGTATTAACAGGATTATCACATTAAGAAGCAATCTTTTATTTAGTTAATTTATGCTTCTAAGAATGCCAGGTTATAATACAATTTCTTAAAAATAGTATAAATTCTCGATTGGATTAGATTCTAGATGGAGTAGTCAGATGTTTTTTTTTTTCGTGGATATACCTATATGAAATGTCTCCATCGCCTAATCGATAATGGTATATGCTTACGAGACACCAATGGAGGATGAGGTCAGATCACCTACTCTAGAGGTATTGTTTTCAATGGTCCACGTCGTGGAGAATGCATGTACCCACATTTCTTTGGGTATATATAAATAGAAAGCGGTGAGGACGAGCACTCCGCCATCTCTCGGTTTATTATCGTTGTTTCTATTTTATATTATTTTTGATAATAGAATGGTGTACTCGCCTGCACTAACGATGTACGCAGGCGGTGCACCAGTAGAGGATGAGTGTTTACCACGATGGTTTCCAGGGGAACTGTGTGGAGGTCAACTAGACGTGGTACATTCCTAGCAATGAGGTTTTAAGTCCACATTACTAATATATCCCTTTCAAAAACAAAGAAAAAAACTAAATAACAAATGTCCTGTACATCATTAAAAAAGAAAAAAAAAATAGACGAAAAGCATTTCGCTACAAAGGAAGCGGCAGATATTACTATAAATAAAAATAACAAATCCCTTTCTATTAGCGGATAAGTAATTCATAAATATAAAGTGACATGCAAAGTTTTTTAGTGTCAGTCATAGTTAAAATTACACCAGATCTGGGTAATAAATAATAGATAAACTTCAAGGGCCACGACATGAAATTTTACGACTTTTACTAACCTCTTTGAAATAACTAATCATTGAAATAGACAAAGAGTGTTTCTCTTTGTCTATTTCGAAAAGATTTGCAATAAAAATATACCTAATTAAATTAATAAAATATAGAATCTGATATATTTTTATTGCCTCTCCCGAATGTCCAATTCCCTCAGTATTAGACATTCGGGAGCGGCAGAGAGGTGAGGGAATAGATTTAGGGACTAGTTTAATGTATCATGTCAGGCCAATCATCCTATTATCCTTCACTGGTACCCCGCCTGTGTTTATCGTTTACGTGGACGGGTATACAATTTTCATATTCGTCCAGACAAAAATCACCACTACCTACTAAAGAGCACCAAATTATCATAATAGGGACTGTTGTTAGCAATGTTCCAAGTCAGGTCCATCTTCACTTTAGAAACCATTCCAGAAAAAGTGATTCGCTGGTTTAACTGACCTAACTGACTTCATCTTTATCTTCAGAATGATAGCATTCTCCACTAGTACCTGGTCAATGTAATCCGTTATTGAGTGTACGTGAGCAACATTCCATATTCATCCTTTGAAAAAAATATTAAAATTTAATTATAATGTAATATTGTTTGTATAAGTGTGTCCAAATTGCAAACGCTTTGCTATATCGTGTTTCAGTGGTACGATCCTAATCTTGCATCGATCATCAATAACCACGATTAGTTTGACACTGAGCAGTATACAATGCAATCAGCGATTCTTTTATCGGGTCAACTGTATTATATTATTTTTTATTTACTTTACACTTAAAAAAAATATTTTGCAAATCATACTTGATTTCTTATAAGTACATTCAAATTATATTATTTGGGCAGATACTAGAGATTATCTTTGTCTTCTTAAATTATCCATGTCACAGTTTAATAATTGTATGCTTCACTTAATATATAAATTATTAATTACATATTGACTATATTTTGAATTTACAACTTTTTAATTATATCTAATACTAGCTCTTCACCGCGACTTTGCCTGCCGTTTTTTTAGATAGAAGATAGACTAAGTTCTATTCATGTGTACATTTTCGTGATACAGTCTATCTTCATATTAAATTTCATTAATATCCTTTCAGCTTTTCTGGAAAGGTAAAAACAGAATTTTTTCGTATTTATAAAATGTAATGGGTTTATTATAAATGAAAACACTAACTGAACTAAATATATGTAGAGCTAAAAATATATTTGTTAATAATTTTATATGTATAATACATACATTAAGAAATTATATAGCTATAGCTATATATTTCATTTTAATATTATTTATTTTCGGTCACTGTCATCAATCCGAAGAATCTCACAGATGATACTTTGTGGGCGTTTAACATGTTAATATGTCAGAGACGGTGTGAAATGTATTACATTTCAACGCATTAGTCATAAAACTGAATATTTTATAGATAAATAAAATACCTAAGCCGTGTTGACATGTGTGATTGGTTCCATCAACAAGTGTGTTAATTGATTTACAAACAGTATGCATGTTTGATGATTTTAAACAATTAATTAGTACCTACAGCTAATGGTTTTTCTTAAGAGAATATTACGGTGTTCTAGCACAACGGCCGAGGTATGTAGACTTCTGAGTGGGTATCTCTATTTATTCCTTAGTTAACTTATTTACTTTTTCAGTCACTAAGCAACTTTTCCACTTACATGGTATAAAAAAGCTTGTTTTGCTTTCCAAGCTGTGTTGGTTGAAGGGTGTGCATAAATAATAATAATAGGATAATTATAGCGCTGTCTAGTCTCAAGTTCTCAAGCTGGTGTTGTGGGTATTATACAACTGAAAGAAATACTTACATGAATTTATTTTTAAACACATACACTATTTATATATAAAATCAACGAGACTAACACAAACAATCATACTCACGAATACAAATGTTTGAACTGTGTGAGGAATCGAACCCGCGACCATCGTAAGTAAAGCGTTGTGTTATATCGCTATATCACTGAGGGCATCAAATTATGACAATAAATATATAATAAAATTTTGAGGAACGTAGGCATGATATGCGGCATGATGATAATGAGGCATGATGCTATTCCAATGCATCAGGAATAGCAATGAATTAGAGGTACCACTGACGGGAATGCCATGTAACTGTACGTGTATAGGCGGCAGTTGCTACTTACCATCGGCAACGGGCCGTAGAATTTTTATTTCAATTAGGAAAATGAAAAAAAGGAAAATTATACCATACAAAAATATACTGTAGGTACCTAAAGTTCATATAACAAACTAGACTTTTAAGAAAAATATACAAATATCAATTAATTTGAATTACTTAGTCCCATCTTATTACTTAGTTGGTTATTATTAATATATTGAACGTAGCACATTTTATAAAAAGAAATAAAAAAACATCGAATTGGCAAAGCTTTTTAGATTTAATTATTTAATAATTTATTTGCTGAAACCCCATGCAAGTAGGTATATATATACCTATATATAATACGAAATCGAAAGCAAAAAGTATTAAAGAGACTCTTTCTAGCTTCTGCCTGCTAAAATGCAGGTATATATATACCTACTTTTGTATTTATAATATTGCTAGTAATCGTAAGCCGCCGTATATTTGAATAATCTTTAATCTGCTTAAAATATCTTTTCAAATTTGAATTACGGCTTAGGTACACCTCGCCTAACGTAGCATTTATTTTTTCCATTTGTCTTTCGGATTATGAACAATAAGTTCAAAAATAAAATAACAGTCACTGTTTAATTCATTGCTATCATAACCATCACAAATAATACCGTTAAAATTTATTTACTATGTATTCCAAAAATCATGCGTATTCCCCAGTACATCTAGTTTTGTTCTTTACATATAATAAAAGCGTAACATTTTTTTTCTAATGCTTTTGTTCACATCTGCCATTACAGCTTCACCGTACAAATGAGCGTAACTAGGCAGTAAACTGACTGTCTATTTATGTTTTAATGTTTTACGTAAAAACGACTGGATAAATTAAAAAGAAATTTTCACGTACGTACAGAGTACGTTGTTAAATATCGGTCAACATATAATAATTATTTTCGTGAATATTTGAATCCTAATATACAATGTTACTAATAAATCGCGTTGTTGATATATTCATTGTTATCATTTTATTATTCATCAATATATTTACATATACACGCGTACGAAGTCGCAGCCACTACCAGTATTTATTAAAGTAATTTAAAATGGGTTATTAATCAATTAATATTTCAAAGGTATCTACTCGCATCAGCACCTGGATACATCGCAAGTCCAAGTGGTGACCCCAGTGAAGGTGACACACGACGGCAAGCTGGTCTCGCACGCGTTGGAGCACGCGCATGAGCACGGGCACGCGCGGGCGCGCCGCGACCTGTTCCACACCGAACACCGGTTACAGCACTCGCTCCACTACAACCTCACGGTAGCCGGACGGGATCTTAGGCTGGACCTGCGGTAAGTTTCATTTTATTGACGCTTGACTTCTTTTATTTGACGTAAGGCTCATTAGTTAAAACTGTTGTTAAATTAAGTACTAATCGAAATACTTGTAATGGAATGAAATATTTTGTAATTATACATATCCACCGCCTTGGCCAACATATCTTACATAAAGCAAAAATAAACTCGTAGTTTTCAAATTACTTTACTTGCATAAGATATATATATCTCATAAATACACCACTTTAGACAAATCGTGGAGGATAGAACTATTTATTGTATTTTTAAGATAATCAATTTATAGTAGCTATGATTGCATTAAGTGTAGTTTCTGTACGTAAAATAATCCTACTTCATTCATCGTATATGTCCTAATATTCTACGAACCATAAAAAAGTCATCCGGTATATATAAAAACTACATTTTAAGTCATTTGAATCGACTCACAAACAAAAAAGTTAAGTTAGTCTATTGTTATTTCGCGTACCTAGTAGGAAGTCGCGAGTTCCGCTAACCTACAATATTCTATTACCTATTGAGTTTACGTTTCAGCACTTTTATGTTCTCGGTAGAAGAGTAGGTAACGGTAAGTATATTTACAAAAATTTCCGAAGTAACCTTAATAAGCAACAATAAAATATTTAACTAACTAAAAATTAATTTCCAAAGAAAAGACATAGGTAACAGCTAGTTGTTGGTAGTAAATTACATTCTTATGAATTTAAATTGCAAACCTCACATCATTATCGCACTGACCTCCATCAATATGAATGCCACAGATAGATGTTGTCCTAATTAACTCGAATTATCAATACTTTTACTAAATTTGTCTGGTTATCTTATACGATAAAATTATTAATAATAACACTTTTTATCTACCAATATGACCAGATTTTTTGTGGTGTTTTTAACTTATCAGTTTTTTTGAGGACCGCACACCCACGCAGAGCAATGAGCTCGTATACAAAAAGCTTAATTTGAAATAATCAATCACATCCGATCACACTGAGATACCGCAGCATCTGTTATAAATAGATAAATAATTAGTAGGTATGCGTGAATTTGAGTGAAATGCGTGAAACCAAACGAAATGACACGTTCCAATGACCTGACCTCAAGATTATTGTTAATGAACAGCTATAATCATTTGACTCGACCGAAATGTTTAAGATAAATGTTCATTCTTAAAATTTACAGATAAGTCGCTGGTAACTTTTGTTAGTTTACAATAATGTTTTACTACTAACAGTACCTCCTTATTTAACTAGTAGTCCAACATATAATACTTTACATTTCACGTTCAACATTATACTTATAGTTTGACATTATCCGGCTGTTTGTCTGTTATAGCACTACTTTTGACGACAGCACAGTGGACTACGCTGTTCTCCCTGGAGAGGAGCTGTCTACAATTCAGAAATTTCATTTAACGTAATATTAAAGTAGATTCCATATTTTTATAATGCTACCAACAACCATGCTTGTTAATTGCTGCTCAATTGGCCGTAATGGGCAAAGTGACCTTATTCTAATGTTGAATATCATCTTGAGCACCATTCCATCTTCATAATCAATGAAAATCCACCTACTTTCATTTAATACTAGCTGACCCGCGCGACTTTGTCTGCATCACATCATTACATATCGCCCAATTTACATATCTTTTAAAATTATAGTCTATGTGTTATTCTTATATATAAGCTATGTTACTGTAAAATTTCATCAAAATCCGTTTAGAAGCATTTGCGTGAAAGAGTAACAAACATCCATTCATACTCACAAACTTTCGCATTTATAATATTAGTAAGAATTAATGCATTAAGTTTAAGAATAATTTACATATAGGAGAGATTTGTTACAAATATATAAGTACTACAAACGGTCAAAGGTTTAGCGATAATACTTTTGTCTTATCACAAGTGCTATCTCTTACAAACAGACCTTTGAGAGAGTATATTATAGTTTACTATAGTTGGAGATGTCAGACCTTGATCTGATCTTGACTGATCAAGATATGCATACCTTATATGGCTGAAAATAGAAATATAAATTTATGACTATTCTTTCTTACGCAGCAATTTACCTACTAAGAAAGGATGTCCAAAAGTTCCCATAACAACAGCCAAATACGATAAATAGCAAGTTTTAAGTAAAGTTTCCTCAATATATCCCTAATTTAATTAAACAGTATTATTTTAGTAATAACTAATTGATAAGGCAATGGCGAGACTACAAGTGAGGCCTTGAGACGATCAACTCAAAATAACCCGAATTCAAGGAATATGAACATAAATTTTAAGAATTCATGTAAATCTAATTTTTTTTGTTCGTTATGCACTATTTAATTCGGAGATATTTTTGTCGTAATTTTAGTTTAATTATATATTTTCATTAGCTATTTAGTAGTAACAGTAGTACTCTCCTCGTATTATACATCTCTTCATATATTATATAATTTAAAAACAGAATAAAATAATTACTTAATCATTATAAACTCAGCCTAGCTTGGGACTAGATGGTGCTGTGTAAATTGTTTAGGGTTATTATTATTATTCCGAATAAAATTATTATTATTCCGGTGTTGCTACTGTTGAAAATATGTACTTAGGTTAGGTATACACGATACGAAATAGTAAGAATATATATTTATTTACATATAATAAATATGTATAAGTACCTAATACATTACCGCACCTATTAAAAAAATGAAGTCGGTACATATTATTTTTAGTCGTAGGTACAACACAACTGTTTATATAATTATATTTAGCGTTATGACACAAAATTACAAGCGGCTTTTTATTTTTTAGACAAATATATTTTCATTGAATGATCGGATTCGGTGATGCTAGTGTAAGTATAATTAAGTCATTCATTGCTATGTTGGATACAAGATATTAATTTAAGACAAGTTGTTGGCGATGCGCCTAATTCACCACTCGCGCTACTTACTGAAACAAATAAATTTCAGTTGCTATTTTCGTAGAACATTTTTACGAATCTTTATATATATCACTCCATCTGAAGTAGACTTTCATTACATATAAGAAAAAATATATTTCCACTTAGGAATTAACTATTCTTGGCAGATCCCCTGAATAGTGTCATTTCGGACACGTTGTCTGTTTACCACTCGTATATTCAACGACGCGTCGGTCCCTTTTTTTTAATAATAACAATCAATCTGCTCCAGTTCCAATGATTCCAATTATTTCCTATATTTTTAATCCATGGCCATAACGTAGATTTCTAAAGCTAAATGACGTTATAAAACCACAAAGTATTTTTATTTATTTTTTTTAATTCATTTATAAATATATATCAAGTCTTTATAATAATAAATTAACAATTATTATTATTTATAATATTATTTAAGCATTTTTTGGTCATACGAGTAGAGTATTAGTGGTCATTCATTCTTGAAGACAACGCTATTAATATACATAGAAATAGAAATAGAAATAATCTTTATTCAAATAAACTCATTACAAGCACTTTTGGTCATTCATTGCAGATTCATGAAGACAAGAAACTTGTGTGCTTTTTGATAGATGTTTTTTTTATATAAATAATTACAGTGTAACAAGTAAGAGGCATGCGACAATATTAATATACAGATAATATATTATTATTATACATATATTATTATTGCCAATGAGGTAGATAAACAGATAATAATTCTAAAAAATGTCTCCTATTAAAATAAAGCTCTTGAATTGCACTCTGTTGTTGGAATAGAGCTCAGTTCAGCATTGTTAGACAAACCTACCTACGTAATGAATTCCTAAACTAGAGAGTTAGTAATATTCTTGTTGAAATATGAGGTATTTTATAATTGCTATGCACAACCTACTACGACTAGGTAACTATAATATATATTACGTAATATTGTGTTGATCATAATTGCACTCAATGGTATATTTTTTATGTTAAAATTAATATAGCGGAAAAATAAAACATATGGCGGATCATAACAAAATCACCACACTTCAAAAGCACCTGGTTACCAATGTCTTCGAAGAGTTGGTACTATCTGTAGGCCAACTCCACCACCGCGAGCGCCTCCCCAGCAACCTGTTAGTTACCCTTGTCATAAAATTACTCCTATTAAGTACTTATTTATATTTAAATTAAAGACATTGTAACTTATGCTCGGTTATATTCTGGAATATAGACCTGAGTAATAAATTGACCATAAAATCACCTACCTCAGTTAGTTTACTTGTCAGTTTATTTAGAAGACAATTAGTTTAGAAAAAAAACAGCGCTAGATTGGTTGGAAGAAATCGTTTTCAGAGATAAGTCCATCCTTGATCACATTTTTGTATAATCATTTTATAATGTTACAAGTGCAGAATTATATATAAAATTGCTCGTTTTTCCAACTAATAAAGAAAATACTTGTCCCTATTTTAACCTACTGCACGTAAAAAAAATATTTAGTTAATCAAGCAGTTTCAAAAGTTTGTTAAACAATTTCATAATAGTATACCGCGTATTAGAATACTTCTAAAATATATCAAATAAAAAAATAATGTACTAGAAACCATAAAAATTGACAAAGTAGTAATAAAAATTAGTACCATGCATGTTCAATATTCTTGTCATCTAAGTGAAAGAGAAAGTACTCAGCGACAAATAATTCACAGATCTCTAGGTGCAGTATAGGTAGCTCCTATTAGAAATAATTTCGTTTAGATAGATAGATATTTTTTTTCTTTATTACTTTTACTAATAAAGCTATATAGTAGGTACGTTAACATAGCATCACTTTTTAGAAAAAAATATTGGTCTATAAGATCCATCTCCAAGATTGTAATTTTTAATGTCGCCAAATCTATAATTTCATATCTTATAGCTCGAAATTGCATTCTCTAGTAATGAAATAAAATAATAAACTTACTTAGGTCTCTGTTTAATTTGGTCAACGGTTAAATATGTTATTGTACTGTAAGTACACCAAATAAAAAGAAATGTACTTATTTAACATATAACGATGCATTGTAACGGCTTGT